TATATACATATATATATATATATATATACATATATATATATATTATAAACGTTTAAGGGCTAATTTTATTGAAATTGAAAAGATACATAGAGGTTGTATGAGAGGACCCACAAAAGGTGTCCTACCCATATGATTCATCAGACACTAGCATCGTAAAAGGATGAAACATAGATAAAACACAAAAAAATAAAACTTGCATGAAATAAGCTGCTAGGCATGAGCCAGCTTGGTCTTGCCTCAGCCTCTAGTTCTAGGAGCGGAGACAGCTAATAAATTGTTGAGTGTCGTTCCATACCCGAAGTTACTAGAGTATCATCCATTAAGTTTCCAAGCTGGAGTGTCTTCATTCTTCTTTTTCTTTCTAGATGTGTAAACCTGTCATCGGTGTGGTCAACAGATTGTTGGGCGTGTAGGAGAAAATGAGCCCCTAGCTCCTGACTAGCAGTAACAACATTCTGATTCTTAAGAGATGGCAAGCATGTCTCTTCAACACCTGATGCATCCTGTGGATGTGGAGCTTCAATAATGATAGAGATTGTAGGATGTCCAAGTAAGCCATCTGTCAATACATCAATCGGAAGAACAGAAACAGTATTGTCTCCAGTAGTGGGAGGGAGAGGTGGCATCATGTCAACCAGTGTTTCAATAGTCTGTAGAATGCACTCAGGTGCGGAAGAAAGACAGCTATGAAGTGGGGCAGACCCAGTAGCATTTTTACTTGGAGGTTTTAGATTTGGATGCAACTGATAGAATGTCCAAAAAAGAGTGTCCAAACATACGACAGTGGGAACAATAAAGTGCTATCTGTTAAAGTTCTGCTTGCTGCCAAAATCCCTGATGTTGTGTGATAATTCATATTTCTCCCGGAAAAGGTAAAGTAATATCTCTTTCTATCAAAATTCTAGCTTCTGAAAGCTGAGTTAGATTCATTGTAGGCGTGTCAGTTTTGAGGGGTTTACCGTACACCATCGCTAAAGTGAAGAGAAACTCTTGATCAAAAAGGTGGATCTTCAAACCTGAAAAGCGCAGCCAAACAAGAATGGTAGGAGGTTCAGTACGAGGGTCAAAATTTACTGTCAATTTTAAAACTTTCATCACCTGGTTTTCTATTCGAAAAAGTCTTCTCGCGAACAAATAAGTGTAGTCTTCATCATTTGATAATTGAATAAGAATGTGGCGACCATCCAATTTACCGATCTTTCAACCCCCTTTCAGCTTCATTTGTTCAAAGTTCTTTCGAATTAGCTCATGTTTAAGGTTTTCATAAAGAAACTTACCAACTAAGAACAGTTGGCAGGGCGCAGCTAGGGTGGAGATCTCTGCCTCAGTGAGAAATATTGCAGGTTTGTTGTTTTTACAGGAAGCTTTTTTTGAGAAATCTGGTTTCAGTGCCAAGAACAAAATTGTCGTGGCATTGTTGCGGAAACTTATTTGAAAGAGGGGCGAAGACGGGATTATCACTGGCGAGTACGGCGGCGTAGGAACGCCCTGATGTCATTTCTACAGCAAGAAACGTCGATCGGCACAGACGCAGACATAGAAGCAGTGCACGTCGATCGGATGATAAGTCGCGGTTTCGTCGCGGGCGCGAAGCAGCGCGAAGGAGGAAAAGCCTTGCGTTGCTCGGTGCGAAGGAACGACGATCGCAGAGGAGACAAGCGCGGGCGAGCGAGCGTCAGTGGAGTCGTCGACAACGCTGCGAAGACGACGCAGCAGAGTCGCGTCTTCTCTGTCGCAATCGACGAAGTGCATGGACGTGTGAGGGAGCGGAGATAAGGTCAGCAGCGACAATCGAAACGCTAGAACCCTAGCAGAGCGGTCGGACATGTATATATATATATATATATATATATATATTTATATATGTATACACACACACACACACATATATATATATAAGAAGAACCAAAAAGCGCGATGTTTTCGATTCCGTCTCTACTAGGGTTTGTGATTCGATGGCGCGCGGGTAAAAAAACCTAAAACTGCTGAAATACATAGTATCAGGGGCTAGAGAGCAACCTAATTTGGTTTACCCTCTGCCTCTGGTCCTAGGAAAGGAGCAAGCTAATAAGTTGGTGAGATGATTGTCATTGCCAGTAGTAACAAATGTATCATCCAATATGTTCTCGAGCTGGAGTCGGCCTCCATTCTTCTTCTTCCTCCTGGAATAGACCTGTCATTCCTCTTCCGAAGATTGGCTCACCTGATCTTGGTCTAATGTGTGTTGGAGTTGTGCAGATTGTTGAACGTTAAAAGCAACTACATGTTGTACTGGATGATCTGTTATTGGATCAAAGGAGCACTCTCGTGCTTCTTGACGTGTAAGTGAGTCTTCTTCAATAGCAGTGGGTGGTATATGCACAACTGGATCTGTAGCTGTAGTAAGTTATTCTTCCTCAGGAACAGCGGTGTTGGGAAGAGGGTCAGGTTGTATCTTCTCAACAGGGATAATAGGTGGTTGTTTAGTGATATTCGGTCTTAGATGAGGATGCAAACGATAACAAATAGTAGAGCTATATCCAAACATACTACAATGAGAGTAATAAGGAGGATGTGGTTTCATTTCAACCTTTTGTCAATACCCGTTGTGAATAATGTCAATTTATATCTCATTCGAAGCTGGCTGAGTGATATCTCTCAACTAACACACCAGCCACAGAGGGTCTAGTGACAGTAAGCATAGGACTATCCACCTTGAGAGGCTTACCGAAAGCAGTTGCTAAAGAGTAGAGGATTTCCATGTTGAACATATGTAATTTTAGCCCCGGAAACCCCCGGAAACTTTATACAAACGGGAATAATATGGGACTCCGCTTTTTGATCAAAACCGACTGTCCACTTCAGAATCTTCATAAAACGATTGTCAATCTTGATAGTTTTACAAGAGAAAATGCGAGTGTAATCTGCATCATGAGATAGCTGAATAAGTATATGTCTACTATCAAGTAGGTCAATGTTTCAACTGTCCAATAGTTTCATAGCATCAAACTCCTTCCTAATGATCTCCAGTTTTGGGTGACCATAAAGGAATTTCTCCACTAGAGAAAAATGTCAAGAGAACGCGAGAGTACCGATTTCAACCTCTGTGAGAATAAGTGCAGGTTTCCCATCTTTTTTCTTAAGCTTTTTAATAAAAAGTGTGATCACCTCCACCTTCAAAAGTCTTGTGGAAAGATTCTAGAACATTGCAGGACTTACCGATAGCAAAACTAGACGGTAAACCTAGAGGAGGGGCACTAGCAGGAGAGGATAAGTCGCCGGCAAGGGCATTTGCATAGGAACAGATCATCGAGGCCATCTCCCTCCCAAGATGTCACGGTCAGGAGAGATGGCGGGGCGCAAATATAACAAATATAAGAACAGGATGCGAGAAGAAACCGTCTGTCGGGCAGGCGCGTCCGTCTGCAAAACGTGCGAACAGAGCGTTAGTCGGGCAGGAAGACAAATGCGAGCAAGGGCGCGTCGTCGTTTAGGAGACGACGAGCGCGCAATTCGTCGTCGTCAGGCGCAAAGAAAATGAAGGCGCGTCGTAATGTCG